CGGAAGATTCGAGGACGAATCTTGAAAGAAAAGGGGGAGTAGTGTAACAATGCTAACTGACCATCATGGTCGTGCGACCTTTTAGTGTAGTGGTTAGCGTTGGTGACCGCCAAGCGGACAACTCGGGTTCGATTCCCGGTTGTGACCTGCTCGCCCCTTTCGGTTTTTACAGTCTTGTCACGTTGGACCTTGTACGCGACCTTGTACCTTGTGCCAAGTCATGGGTCTGATAACTTTCGTGGCGGTAGTTTTGCCTTAGATAGGCGTGGACAGACAAGAATCAGCAGTATCTACAACCAGCGTGCAAATCCCTTTCATCAGCGAAGAGAAGTTTTATTCTATTAGAGCTGGCTGATCGTATTTACCATCCTACGGATACAGTAAGTTGTTATCGTGCTGACACCCCTATCTTATAATAGACTGGTCTTAACCCGGAAGTAATACTTTACAGGTCGATGTGTATGTGACCATTTTCCCAACGATCTCTCCGGATTGTTTGCTATTTGGAAACGGACTGGCTCTGCAAATAGGTTCTAGGTGGTTTTCTTATTTGTATGTTTTTACCTTCGCCAGAAATTAATCTGTTTTTGGAAGCATTTGTGTGAGGGCCTGCAGGGGGGGGGTAGTGACTACGAATTACGCAAAATTTTCGCCGCCTATTACGTTAAAGTCTCAGAGCTGATTACGACTTTACGATTTGTGGCTAATGTCCAATTACGAATTACGTTGATTTTTGCGGAGGTTGCCTACGAATTACGAAGTCTAAAACGGCCTGATTACGCTGTACGAAAAAGGCCTTGCAGGCCCTCTTGTATGTGTGTACCATTTGGTGTGTAACGATATATGTACAAACACGGGCCCGTTGGTAACATAATTAATAGCACGAAGCTATGAATGGATAAGGCATGAAGTCGTTGAATTTCTATCCTATATGTGTGACATGAAATATTTTAAGACTAGAGAAGTAACATTTGCAAAGCAAATGTATAATGTTTACCTTCGGACATGGTCTGCTCTGTTAATTCTTACATTCACATACATTCACATTCACACACATGTGCTCCTAGTAACGTTACATGGTGACAGGAGCAGAGCAGAGCAGACCATGAAATTATGTAACCCAACACCAGTCACCATGGTGACAGATGTCAACAAATCATGTCATTGGTCAGGTTTGGAGAAGAAGAAGAGGAAGAAATGGAGCAAATACAATATGTTTTCCTTCGGTAAACATAAAAAGCGGTTATGGAGAGGTCACAATGATCATTGGCCATCGTACGATCAAGGAGGTTTTTTAACCTTCTTCAGTTCTTGGTGACGATGTCAGATTTTTAGACGCTGCGACAGAACCATGACCGGTCACCGACAACTATATAACAAATTTTACCGGTAAATCCATTCCAATCTAGAAGCTTTAATATATCCTTGTTTTTTTTCTCCACCAGGTGCACTTCATATTTTTAACTGGCAAAAAAAAAGTTGAAGAACAAAGCATCATGGGAAGGAAGGAAATCGTGATCAGGGAGCTTCGACCAGAGGAATCTCGGGATATCGGGAAAATGGTTCTCTCCGGATTATTTGAAGATTTCATGACTTTCCGGAATACTTTGAAACTTATGTTTAAACCTTTGAGCTGCGTCTGGTTAGCGATTCTTCTCGTCCTTGTCTACAAGGTGACAGAGTCTGTCGTCCTGTCAGTTCTGTTGCCTCCGCTAGGGGCGCTTTTGTTGTCCTTCGTCTTTGCATACATTCTACAACAACACTACCTTTCTGGCTGCCGCCAGGAGTTAGGAGACTTTTACGGATGGTACGCTAGCAGGCCTGGCGGAAGGTTCTGGATTGCAGTTAACCAGGAGGGAAAGGCTGTCGGGACAATAGCCTTAGAGAGGACATCTGAAGCGACAGCCGAGCTGAAACGCATGCGAGTCCTTCCCTCGTGGAGGGGCAAAGGAGTGGGGAAGTTACTCGTGAAACAACTCGTAGAACACTGCAGGGATACAGGGATCGAGGAGGTGTTTTTGGACACCTCCGAGCTTGTGGAAGCGATACCCTTTTACCAAGCAAACGGCTTCGCAATTACCGAATCATTTTCAGTCAAAATGGCACCAGGAGCCTCCTTGGCTGTCTGGAAAATGTCCCTAAAACTGCGATGAAAAGATGTTATTTAGCGTTCAATACGATATTCCGAAAATAACCACGAATAATGTTTGTCAACAAGTAATGTTTGTCAGTGTTGTCTATAACCATCGTTTTATTAAAGTAGCTGAAATACTGAATTTATTAGCATAACATTGTTGACATTAAAGAAATAATGTTAGGAAACAATGTCTCTGCTGCTGCCTTCTCATATAGATACTGTATAGGAGAAATATGAATAAACAGTGAAACGCTTTGTTTTATGTACCTGTTTGTCTTTGGTAATCCCTTTTCCTAATCTATAATGTCTATAGTTACTAGTAGTATTGCGTATGATACACATAAAAAGTGTACATGTACTTGCATAAACAGTGGTAAGGAAATAAGTTGGGCTTGTTCCACACTGAAATTCAGCGCAGTAAGACAGATACGTGGGTGACATTATACTGGTTTAGAAACGGATGCAATTGGGAAAATGCCTAGAAAAGCATGCTTTCAACTTGGTCGTTTTAGAATGTGCAATATCATATGCATTATCATTGATCAATGACATTGCAGTCAATGTAATGAAACGGTACTATCGTACATGTATATTCGAAGTGCCAAAAATAGATATTATAAAACCAGCCCCCTAAAGATGTGTTCCTTCTAGCCCATACGAAATCGATGACTTGCTGGCTCTTTCTTATTCATGTTTTTTTCCCAACATCTAAGGGTTATGACAATTCATAATGATATTTTGAATGTAACGAATGATAGTAGCATACTCTAACGACGGAATTCCAAGGCCCACTAAACTACGATGAGTATTTCCTGGGCATGTCTCCTCATAACTCAGGTGGCTTGTCAGGAAGGCACACCTGAAACAGCTGTTGGTAACGACGGAGGAACTCACCTGTAAAAACAAAAAGTCGATGCAGCAGTTGTATTTATTTCAACCACGTAGTCTTCCTGTAGTCCTTAGTTTATATGGTGCCTGTTAAGCTGTTGTGTTACGCCGAAAAGCCGACACACATATAGTATACTGATTGATCAACACAAATATAGATTTCTCCCAGACTGAATACAGTCCACCTACCGTAGACCCTCTCCAGGACCTTCGGCTTGCTGGTGCGCCTGACGCAGAGGAAGTAGAAGGGCAGGCCGGTGAGAGACAGGGCGATGCCGTATGAGCGGGTTGTACGGGTTGGTGTAGAACTGCATCACCACCAGGAACACACAGGCCAGGAAGAACAGGATGGGGAAGATCAGAGGCGTCTGGAAACAGACAAAAGTAATTATGTTTACCGAAGGAAAACATATTGTTTTTGCTCAGTTTGTTCTTCTTCCTCTTCTTCTTTTCCAAACAGTGACCTCCGACCTGAACCAATGTTGTGTCTGTTGCCATAGTAACTAGTGTTGGGTTACACCATGTTGCAATTTTATAGCAGGAGGCATTTAGACTCCTGTCTGACCATATGCATGTAACTTGTTATATGAATGTGTTTGAGTAAGAATTAACAGAGCAGACCATACGCAAAGGTAAACATTACGCATTTGCCTTGCAAATGTTACCTTTCTAGTTACAGTTAGGCCATGTTGATTTGATTATATGGATGACATCCTCTGGGAACCCCAAAACTAGATGCGCGCGTG